CTCTAAGCACAATTAGGAATGCTTCTGTTCTCAAGGACTTGACTCCAAGTCTGGGTCACTTCAGCAAACGTTATCAATCTGTTCTCTTAACCGTAAACATCTGGAGGCTAGGAATGCCTTTCTTTCCAGGAATGCAGCGTAGCAAGTCCTGGCCTCATTTTGCTAGCCCTCACCCAACGTGGAGTTGTTCTGGTTTCAACACCTCTGACAGTTTCACTATTAAATGTTTCTTTCTAAGGAACAGGATATGTTGGCTTTCTTTGGCCTTTCAGCTTCCTCAGACTTTGGGATAGATTTGCACAGACCTGCCCACTGTGAAACAGGCTCTATCAGCTGCTGCCTGTAGCCATCTTTCCTCTGGCTCAGGCCCTATCCCGGGAGCAGGAACTTCGACCTCTGGCGGTCTCCAGGCTCCTTTTCCCCGTGTAAATGGACACTTGGAGTTGGCCTGCTTCCTGGTTCATCAGACATGACCGGATATGTATGAACCCCAGCCCTGGACAGTCTGAGCTGGGATCTCTGGTACTTTTGTATTAAGTAGTGGTCCAGGGACGAATGTCAGAACCACCTATTACTGTAGCACAACTAGTGTCTCGACCTAGTTCCATAGGCATGCCTGGGGGCTGCTACACCATCTCACAAGCTTTTGGAAGGCCATTATCAGCTGAATGCTGATCCCTGCTTCTGGTTGCCCAGTGGACGGACATTCGCTCATTTGTCTCTTCACATAGCCCGCATTTACTGAGCACCTGCTCTGAGCTGGTCACTGTACTCACTGCTGGGATATGAAGATGAGTCAGACACTGCGCCTGCTCTGGAGTGGGGTTTCTGTTCTTATTGGAGAGGGGAACATAGATAACCTCACTCTGGCTTCTGGTTGGGCTCAGGTTGTCAATGGAGGAAAATGACTGAGGCAAGTCTCAATCATTTTAGGAGGTTTATTTGCCAAAGTTAAGGAAACGTGCTTGGGAGACAGGTCTATATCTTTCTCTGAAGACGATTTTGGGGGCTTCAATATTTAAAGGGGAAAGGGCGGGATATTGAGAAACACACAATTTTCTTGTGAGAGGGGAATTGGGGAAAATAGCCATTCATGCCTTTGTCTGGCTCAGTGAATCTGCGTTTTTACCTAAGATCACGTAAACAACAGGGCAGAGGAAACAGTCAGATACGCGTTTGTCTCAGATGGGCAGAGGGATGACTTTGAGTTCTGTCCTGTGTCTCGCATCTGCGAAGATAAGCTCTCAGTTTACATTGACATGGTGAAAGTTAACAGTAACGCTTTAGGGTAAAGATCACAATGTGAGGGAGGTTGGTAGCCTGTCATCCTTGTCACCATCTCATTTAGGAACCAACATGGGGGGTAGGTTTGCATGACTCAGTTCCCCGCTTGATTTTTTTCCTTTGGCTTAGTGAGTTTGGGGTCCCAGGATTTATTTTCCTTTCAAGGAATGGCAATGGGCAGCACCAACAGGAGAAAGGAAGGCAGGAAGAAAGGAAGGTGAGCGTTTCTCCTGCCCAGGTGCCACCCTGCTGGGCTGGAGTGTCTGTTTTCCTCCTTTGAGGGCCACAGGCCCTGTGGCATGGTCCTGTCCTACAGTTCCTGTGGGTTCTGGTTATTCTTGACACCTCTCCCTGCCTTAGACTTAGAGGTATAGTGGCCCCGCTGCTGTTGCTAGTCCTGTGTTTTTTCTCTATCTCTTGTTGATTTCACTTAACTCTTTCCTTCTCTTTGTAAATTTCCCCTGCATTGGATTATCCTGTTATACCAACTGAGCCTGCCATTGGTCCACTCCCAGGATCCTGACGGAATCATGATCTCTCCTCTGTATACACGGCCGCCTTTACTTAGTAGACGCCCAGTAAATGACTGCCCAATTAGTAATAATGTAACATGTTAGGGGCTGTGTCAGCAATTTTTGGGTAAGATTTGCCCTCCGAACATCCAACTTCCGGTTCTGATGTCAGATAAATCTGCTGGATCAGTATATTTGAAGACACAATGATACATAAAAATGTGACTTGTCTGTTTTTGGAAGTTGTAGGCTCTTGAGAAACTGGGTGCCCTGTGACGCTAATTATTATGAGAATTAAAGCCACAAAGTTTCTGTTGTTATTAGCAATTTTCCTGTCTCCAGTTTCTGCTTTTTCTGAACAGCTCTATATTTAAACGTTGATGCAATGGGAAAACAAACAAAACTGAGGTATAGAAAAGAGAGACGCAAGGGAGTAGTAAGAAACATGAAAGCTGGTTTCAGTCCAGCTGACAGAAGCTCCCCAAATGTTGGCAGATGAGGCAGAGAGAGCAAAGAGACACAGTGACACTTCTGCCCCTCCTGACATCCTGGGTCCGGGGAAGGGGGCAGGGGGTGGCTGGTGGCAGCATGACGAGCAGCAGGCCTGGTGGCTGCGGAAGGGGAGGTGGGTGGGGCTGGGGGGCACTGGGGAGAGGATGAGGGAATCAGAGGGATGACTAGAGTTTCAGGGTCCAGCCTCAGATGGGTAGTCTCTGCTGATAACAACCAGCGGCCCAAGGAAAGCCACCAAGCCAGGCCTGGTAGTCCAGAAGGCACAGAGGCAACCCAGGGTGTAGTGGGGAACCCCTCCAGGGCCAGGCAAAGTCTTGCTCAGCATGAGGTCTGCAGCTGGAAACACAAAGTAGGTCTCACACTTAACAGGGCCTCCGTATGTGGCAGCAGACTACACAAATGGATTCGAGTTGCTCTGAACATTAGAGAAGCCAAGTGTGGAAAGGAAAGCAGGGGCTGGGTCAGGTGCGGTGGCTCACGCCTATAATCCCAGCGCTTTGGGAGGCTGAGGCGGGTGGATCACCTGAGGTCAGGAGAGGAGCGCCATGCACCATCAAGACAGCCCTGGCACATGCTTTTTCACACTGACCACAGAGAACCCCAGCAAGGAAGATGTGGCTGTGTGCTGGTGTGCAAAGAGAGACGTTTTCATGCACCCATGGGACATGAGATGATTGCTGTTTTGTCATGTGGGAGTGTCCTGTAACCCCCACCCGCCTTCCCAAAGAGCACAGATTGTGTCTGAGGGCTGGTGTGTGTGTGCACAAGCACACATGTGTGCTTGCACACATTCTGCAGGCTCCTCCTCTGTTCTAGTATCAGAGTCATATCTCTCTCATCTGTTTCTTTTTTTTTTTCTTTTTTTTGAGGTGGAGTTTTGCTCTTGTCGCCCAGGCTGGAGTGCAATGGCACAATCTCGGCTCACTGCAACCTCCTCCTCCCGGGTTCAAGCGATTCTCCTGCCTCAGCCTCCCGAGTAGCTGGGATTACAGGTGCCCATCACCATACTCAGCTAATTTTTGTATTTTTACTAGAGACAGGGTTTCACCATGTTGACTAGGCTGGTCTCCAACTCTTGGCCTCATGTGATCTACCCGCCTCGGTCTCTCAGTGCTGGGATTACAGGGGTGAGTCACCGCGCCCGGCCAGGGTGGGGGTTCTTCACCAGGAATACATAGAAGGACTCTGGAGCTTCCTTTAATGTAGATGTGAAACTCAGAGTGTGTATGTTTTCCTGCCGCATGGGTCTATAGCTTTTGTTACAATCTCAAGGGTATCTGTGACCTCAACCGCCCAAAGCTGAGAACACAGGGGCCTCTCTCTCGCCTTGAATCCCCCAGAATTCGTTCACCAGTCCTGTCTGGTGTGGATATGAAGGTGAAGGATAGGCCCCAGAGGCTTGGGGCGGGACCTATGGGCTCCTAACAGTGGCATTGCTCATCTCTAACATTCCAGGTCTTTTCTGGAGAGCCCTCTCTCCTGTTCTAGGCTTTGCTTAGCACCGTCAGCATTGTATCCCTTAGTAGCCTGAAATAAAGGGGAGAGAAGCAAATAAAAAAGGAGACCCATGGGGAAGTTATTTGCATGGACAAAGGCAAGCGAGTCAGCTGCCCAGGGTGGGTCGCGGGGGAAGATGCAGGAGTCACGGGCATGGTGAGGTGGGCGGCACTGGGGCTTGAAGCCCAGTGGTCGCTCACTTTGGGGCTTTTGTCCCTCTGCACAGGTGCTTCCAACGCTGCCAGTTCCTGATGCCAGCACTCCTTTCTCAGCCTGCTCTCTGCTCACATTGAGAATTAAAAAAAGAAATAAAAACCACAAATGGGCTGATGTGAGCAGATTGTTTCGGTCATAACCACAAAAACCTTCTTGTTTCACGTTCCTGATAGACACTGCTTTTGCATAATGCCAAGTCCATTACACTGATGAAAATGCTGATATTATCTGCCTGCTCCAGGGGTGATGGACTGAAAGTTTGTGTCCCCCTTCTTCCCCCACCAAAGATTCATCTGTTGAAATCCTGACCATGAAGCTGATGGTATTGGGGGTTTGGGAAGTGATTAGGTCTTGAAACTGGACCCCTCATAAAGGGGATGAGTGCCCTTATAAAAGAGACCCCAGAGAGCTTTGTAGACCTCTCTCTCTGCCATGTGAAGATGGAAAGAGAAGGCAGTCGTCTGCAACCCAGAAGAGGACTTCGCCAGAGCCTGACCAGGCTGACACCCTGATCTTCGATGTCCAGCGTCTATAACTGTGATAAATAAATGACTGCTTAAGCTGCCGTTTGTAGTATTTTAGTTACAGCAGGCTGAATGGACCAAGACATAGGGTGGGCTACTGCAGGGCCCCCTCTTTTTTCTGGACCAGAACGTGCTTGATGGAGATTCTGGGCACCAAGAGACGGAGGGTGGTGGGAGAGTTTCCTTGTTCTTTATTCCCGATTGAAGTAAAATGCTCACACATAACTGATGTCATGAATTTTTTTTTTTTTTTTTAAGTCAGTGTCTCACTGTCACCCAGGCTGGAGTATGGTAGCATGTTCTTGGCTCACTGCAACCTCCACCTCCCGGGTTCTAGTGACTCTTGTGCCTCAGCCTCCTGAGTAGCTGGGATTACAGGCACCCACCACCATGCCCTGCTAATTTTGTGTTTTCAGTAGAGATAGGGTTTAGTAGAGATGAAGTCATCCGCATGGAGATAACGGTTGAGAAAGACATGGGGAGTGCTCACTACAGCTCCTTAAGCAGAGGGTGTTTTATGATTCAAAAGTAGGCAGCCATAGAGAAGGGAAGCTACTTAGATCGATAAAGTAATCAGATTGGAAGAAGAGTGAAAGAGGCAGGGAACAGAGTCTCCTCTGCTGGAGAGGTTTCGAAAACTGGGATTGACTTTCATGAAGTCCCGAGTCATGAAATCTCAGGGGGTGACCCAACCATTATATTCACATTAAAGGAAGGTCAACAGATTTTCTTCTTTGTGCTTAGTCCATTCTCAGAAGCGTCTCTTGCCACCCTTCCCCTTCTGCTAAGTAAGGCTTAAAATTAGGAAGCATCCTTTAAAAGGCAAAAAAGGAAACAGATGAGAGAGAACACAAAGGAGACTTGGACAAGTAGAAAGTGGATGACCCAGGCTCTGTTACACATACTTGGATTCCAACTGGGACCTAGATTTGCTGAGGACGGCAGCCAGGGAGACAGGACCATGTGGCTGCTCCCAGCTCTACTCCTTCTCTGCTTCTCAGGTGAGTGGGGCTGTGGCTTTGGGGACTTGGTTTTGCAGAGGGCAGGACAGTAGGTAGAAGAGCTATCCTGGGTTCAAGCCAGAGGTAAAGTGTCCACAGAAAAGGGAAAGATACATCCATTCATTCACCTGTGCATCCTTCTGTACATTCAATCATTCATCCATGGATCCTATAAACACTTACTAAGCACTAGACATGTGCCAGGACTGTTCTGGGTGCTGTAATTAAGAGTAATTTCTGAATTGAGGGAATCAACTAACTACAATACAATGTGGAAGTTACTGTTGTAGAGACTCATTCATGTGGTGATGAGAGTATGCAACAGGGACCCCTCACTTTGTTCTTTGAAGGGTGGGAGATGTCACTGAGGCTTCACTGGAAGTTCATCCTGAAGGATGAATGAGTTGGCTGAGTGGGAAAGGAATATCTTATGGACAAGTGTGAGGATATTAAAGACTATGGAGAGTTCAAGAATTAACAATAGTTCTGTTTTGACAAAGCTTAGTGTAAAGGGGTTGGAATGGTTTGTGAGAAAGAATTAATGGGCCAGATGCAGTGGCTCACACTTGTAAGCCCAACACTTTGGGAGGCCAAGGCAGGTGGATCACCTGAGGTCAGGAGTTCGAGAACAGCCTGGCCAATAAGGTGAAACCCTGTCTCTACTAAAAATACAAAAATTAGCTGGGCGTGGTGATGTACGCATGTAGTCCCAGCTACTTGGGAGGCTGAGGCAGGAGGGTCGCTTGAACCTGGGAGGTGGAGGTTGAAGTGAGCTGAGATTGCACAACTGCACTCCAGCCTGGGTGACACAGTGAGACCCTCTCTCAAAAAAAAAAAAAAAAAAAAAAAAAGAATTAACCAAGGGTCTAAAATGCCATCCTCAACATCTACCTTAAATTCTTCCTGGAACAAGGTGTGGTGTAAACAAGTAAATGAAACTGTCCTGCAAAGGTTGGACTTTCAGAAGAGAAACTTTTATTAATAGACATTCAAAATGCAAAATGCAGGAAAACACATTTGTCTGTGGGGAAATAAGTTTAGGCTAAAAATTAGAGGACATTCTTCATGTTTGCAGAATGAATTTTATGGTTGATTTCCCTCATAAAACATAGAAACCTCTCAATGTAATGACAAGGTTCTTTCTAGAAGGGTGAGTGAAAATGACAGAGATTTAAGGGAAGAAGACCAGGTAGATGACACTGACTCAAACTCCTGGGCTCAAGCAATCCTCCTCCCTTGACCTCCCAAAGTGATGGGATTACAGGCATGGGACACTACACTCAACCAATGTTTGCTCATTTTGTATTTGAATTTGCTTCCTTTTTCTTTGCCCTTTGCATCTCTCTTTCCATTCCTATCTCATTCCCCATCCTCAGGCTCACAATGTGACCTTCACAGGTCCCTCTGAAAACCTTAACTGGGAAAGAGAGATGGAAAGGGGCAATTCTAGCATGGAGGATAAATGACAAAGAGGAAGGAAGCAAATTCAAATACAAAATAAGCAAACGTTGGTTGAGTGTAGCGGCTAACACCTGTAATCCCAGTGCTTTGGGAGGTCAAGGTAGGAGGAATGCTTGAGCCCAGGAGTCTGAGATCAGCCTGGGCAACATAGCAAGGCCCCGTCTCTACAAAATAGTAAAAAATAAAGAAAGAGCAAAACTAGAATTCTATTTATTATGCATTTTTATAGCCTACAAACACTTCCAAACAGATGATAGAATTTAACCCTCTGAGCAATTTTGTGACCTAGGCAGGGCAAATAGCATTGACTCCACTTTATAAGTAAGTTGATGATGGGATATCTGATGACATAAGAACTAAATAGACAAGCTGGAAATGAAGTCCAGATCTGTGTCCTCCACAGAGCTCTTTCCATTGGCCATAGAGGTGTCAAGAATAAGGCTAACCGAGTAATAGTCACGAAATAGCTGATCTCTCTGCAACGTCATCTGGTATTTCCATTCTGAACTGATTGCTGTCCAATATTTACTAGCTCCCATTAACCTCAAGCAACCAGCAAGCACATATTTCAAAAAAGGCACAGACGCTTTTTTATAATTCCATCAATCATTTCCAGGAACATGCTGGATTTCCTTGACACCTGCTAATCTTACATTCAGGTAACACTCTAGCAGGACAGAGGAAAGTATCTTGGAATTAGCATAACCTTCTTTTTCCTTAACTTCAGGTGCCCAGGATTATATCATGGGTCATGGAACACTCTCTTATCACTGGTCCATTCAAGACCCTCTTTTATTTTAATTATATGTAACTTAAACGTCTGTGAACTCACTGGCCAATCCGTGAACTAGAATGTTATCAACAACAAAGATCTCCCCACTCCTTCCCAATCCAATCCTGGTTCTTCGTTCAAACAACAGTAATTTGGTGTCATTTGCCAATACTTTGCATGAAAAGTTGCTTTTGTTATATTTTTATATTAAGTAGAAAATTGGGCTAAGCAACTAGAAGCCACGATCTACATCTGAGGGTCTGTGATTTAATCAGCCACAGCCTTCATCTCATCTTTTTTTTCCTCTTCTTCTTCTTCTTTTTTTTTTTTTTTTGGAGAAGGAGTCTGGCTCTGTCACCCAGGCTGGAGTGCAGCGGGGTGATCTTGGCTCACTGCAACCTCTGCTGATCAGGTTCAAGCAATTCTCGTGCCTCGGTCTCCTGAGTAGCTGGGATTACAGGCATGTGGCACCACACTTGGCTCAGTTTTGTATTTTTGGTAGAGACAAGGTTTCACCATGTTGGCCAGGCTGGTCTCACCTCCAGTCATCCGCCTGCCTTGGACTTTATCTTTTTCTTTAAGCTCACCTATCCAGGCTCTCCCCTCTGCAAGTTGCCTTGCTTTACCTCCATTTTGGAGGTGGCTTTGCTTACTGGGCTTTAGATAGTACCCTTATCCACACTCCTGTCGTGCCTCTGAAATATAAGTCTTTACGAGTGACTTCCACTTTTTTTTTTTTTTTTTTTTTTTTTTGAGCTGGAGTCTTGCTTTGTTGCCAGGCTGGAGTGCAATGGCACAATCTTGGCTCACTGAAACCTCCGCCTCCCAGGTTCAAGCGATTCTCCTGCCTCAGACTCCTGAGTAGCTGGGACTACAGGTGCATACCACCATGCCTGGCTAATTTTTGTATTATTATTATTATTTTAAATGGAGCCTCACTCTGTCGCCCAGCCTAGAGTGCATGGCATGATCTAGGCTCACTGCAACCTCCGCCTCCCAGGTTCAAGTGATTCTCCCCTTCAGCCTCCCAAGTAGCTGGGATTACAGGCGCCTGCCAGTATGCCTGGCTAATTTTTGTATTTTTAATAGAGACAGCATTTTACCATGTTAGCCAGGCTGGTTTCAAACTCCTTACCTCTGGTGATCCGCCCGCCTTGGCCTCCCAAAGTGCTGGGATTACAGGCTTGAGCCACTGCGCCCGGCCAATTTTTGTGTTTTTAGTAGAGACGAGATTTCACCACGTTGGCCAGGATGGTCTCGATCTCTTGACCTTGTGATCTGCCCGCCTCCGCCTCCTAAAGTGCTGGGATTACAGGTGTGAGCCACAGCGCCCAGCCATGACTTCCACATTTTAAGAACCATCTTTTGTCTTTTCAGAAGATTCATTTGCATTGGTTTCATTTCAATGAGAAGGTTGCCAACTGGAGGAAATAGCCATCATGAATGCAGAAGGCCCTTTCTTTTCTAGGGTGACCTTCCAGATTTGCTAGGTTTGGGGTTCCCCATAGCACTTTTAGGCTTTTCAGGATGAGATTCTGACTCTGCAAAGGGACTGCTATTTGCTTGACTTAGAATGGCTTGAAAAGTTGTAAAGTTTGTGAGCCAGAAAGACCCCTAAACCTGGAGGTTTACCTAACAGAGACCTGGGAAAGGAAACAGTTCAGTCCAGAGGAGCTAAAAGTAAGTGGTTCTGGGCGCTGGAAGGGACGAAATGGTCCCATGGTTTCCTCTCTCAGCTGTGCTCTCCCCTGTGTGTGTGTGTGTGTGTGTGTGTGTGTGTGTATGTGTGTGACTGACAGGAAGGTGAAACATTTGCTTCCTAGCAGGGCTGAAAGAGTCCAGGTTGTAATCAGGAATGTGGAGGACAGATTCCAGAGGAGAAAGCCTCTTTCCAGAGGCCAGGGGCAGAAGGCCAGGGCAGTTTTTATGCAATTGAGGAATTAAAGACTTTTTGGGCTGGAAGGAACCTGGAAAGCTCTCTTGAGTCTGACTTCCCGTCTGAAGCTAGCATCTTATTGATTGAAGTGGCAGGAATTCTAGGACACATTCAGCTCTGAAGGGGCTGGCTCTGATCCTGGCAGAAGAAGAACCCCAAGCTCTCCAGGAATGATCCCTTTCGGAAGCAGCACAAGCAGGCCTTGGTTCCACCACCAGACTCTTGGCTGTGATGAGCCCTTTGTACCCTGTCAAACTCCCACTGTGAGAAATGCAGTCCTGAGCTCTGTCCAGAACCTGGAAGGAGGTGCTGCTGGGATGTGCCACCTCTAGGAGGAGGCTGGGGGCAGGTGGAAGGGAGGAGGTGAGGACCGGCTCTGCAATCTCAGGAGGGGTGTGCAGCTGTGGGCAACAGGTTCTTAGGGGAGAACGTAGGTGGGGAGCAGGGATTTGGGAATGGGAAGATTCCTGAAGGTACAGCATCCGGGGCAAGGAAGGTTCTTATGAGAATTAGGACAACAGAGAAATGGGGAGCGCTCAGAAGTTGCGGGGTCAGGAGCCACTTTGCTGCAGTCAAGGGAGCACAGAATGGGAGAACACAGGTTTGGAGCAGGGTTTGGGGTAGGGACTGGGAAGGGGTCAGGGTGGGGGTGACAGGTGCTACTGAGTGTGGGAGGGGCCAGGAGGGTGGGAAGAGATAGTGACAGTGAGATTGTCTCAGACCAAGCATGGCTGGTGGGGTGAGGAAGGTGTGCATGGTGGCGGCTCACACATCTGCCAAGGCATATGACAGACAGAGCCAGCTGGGGACAGAGTGGGGAGGAAAGGCAGGTGGTGGGAGGAGGGGAGAGAAATGAATGAAGCCAGAAGTCAGGGACTCCTCCATTCTCAGTCACCTCGGATCTAGATGTAATTAGCTCGGGAGCCCAGATAGTCGTAGGACTCACAGATACCAGAGGCCGTTTCACACTTTCTGCTCATTCCAACAGCTTAAGCTTCCGTGGCCCCTGTGTGTGTTCATCCTCTTATTGCTAACTCAGGTTACTTTGGGGGATGCAAAGCTCAGCCTCGTGACTGTCTTTCTCTCCCCCTCTCTCACACCCACACACACGTGCACGTGCACATGCACTCAAGTTCAGTCAAAGCCTCTTGTAAGTTTGTCAGCACTTGCTCAAGATATTGGGGCCTCTGCTGAGCATCACATCCCATAATGCCTGAACTTCTGCCTACCTACAGCCTTTCTTTTCCCTTCTCTTTCCTTCCGTATCAACTTCTCGCACTTTGCCTCCCAGATTCTAAGCCCCACTTTCCCCCCAGGACCCAAAGCACCTCACTCGGTTACAGAGAGCAGCTTCCCTCTTTCCTCTGCGTGGTGACCTCTGATACCCAAGACCTGGGGACTATTATGGGGGAAGGTGATCTTGTGTCCCAAATTCATGTAAAGAAGCTTATCAGGGCTTCCTTTGGACACAACCCCTCTTCCCAGGGCCATGTTGATTCTTCCCGGAGAGTGGTTAAGATCAGAGTGGGAGAGTTATTTTCCCTCCCACAAGAACTCTCTGAGAGTGGAGGAAACCACACGTTGTGCTTTTAAAGAATAAGCCTGAGTTGAGGAAGACCCCAGAATACATGGGTCTCACTCTAAAGGGAAGTGATCTTGTATATGACCAAATCTCATGCCTGGCAGAGGCTGCAGGGCCCGGGACAAGTCGGGACAGCTACTCTCTGCTCCTACCTCCAGCTTTGGTCTCCACGTGCTGGGGCCCCTGCGCTGTGACTTGGTGTCTCTGCTCTCACAGGGGACAGGTTTCTTCTCTCACAGGGATTCTTTGGCTTAGTCCTAAGCTCAGGTATTCCTCCAGGTCCCCATCCCAGGAAGCACCCAGGTCTCCCTGGCAACCTTCCCCTCAAGCTTCAGACAGACGGCTGCTGATAGGGCCATCTGGATGGAAACCTGGGACTCGGGCTTGTGTTTTTCAGGCTGTTTGTCTCTGATGGGCCCTGGCTCTGTGACTGGCACCGTGGGGGGCTCTCTGACAGTGTGGTGTCAGTATGAGAGCACGTACAAGGGATATAACAAATACTGGTGCCGAGGACAGTATGACACGTCATGTGAGAGCGTTGTGGAGACCAAGGGAGAAGAGAAGGTAGAGAGGAATGGCCGCGTGTCCATCAGAGACCATCCAGAGGCTCTCGCCTTCACTGTGACCATGCAGAACCTCAATGAAGATGATGCTGGGTCTTACTGGTGCAAAATTCAGACAGTGTGGATCCTGGATTCGTGGTCACGCGATCCCTCGGACCTGGTTAGGGTGTATGTTTCCCCAGGTAAGAGCTCCCCTCACTTTGGCAGCAGGGCTTTGGGGTGTGACTGGATAAGGGAACAAGGGTGGGTGGCATACTGAAGTGTGCCTCCAAGTCTTGTCTTGTCCTCAGTCACAGTGGTGTTGGGAGGAGCCCATGGCATGGGCACGGAGAGAGGCGGCTGATCCTTCAGCCTTAGGTGGGCTGGGGAGTGCACAGCTCAGGTGCCGTCACTCCCATGGGGCCCGGGCCTCACCCCATTACCCAGCATGGAGGAAGCCCCTTCATGCTAAGCCGAAGCTGTTTCCACCGTGCCCTTTGGGAAGCCTGTACCAAAGAAGAAACACTCCTGTACATTTGCAGCCTCCTCACAGAACATCCCCCTACCATGCTGTTTTGAAATATGTCTTGCTTGGGAAGTCCTTCCTGTTTAGTAGCTTCTTGAGTGGAAGCTACTCTTTCTCTTACTCCCCATATGCTAGAGGGCCGTGGAGCCGTGCCTCAATTCTTCCTGCCTCCATCAGAACTTCCGCCCTGTGACTTTCCACCTGCTTCCTTTAGATGTTGTGCCAGATGGTCACACACACCTTCTACCTGTGCTCGACAAGACTGTCCATCAGCTTCCAGGTTGCTCCCCCTCATTCAGCGGGGACCTGCCAGTGCCTCCACCTCAACCTCTGCCATTATCTTGGCAGGTTTTAATGAATAACTTGGCAATCCTGCCTTGGGTTCCTTGACATTCTCAACCTTGGTGTCCTTTATTTTCCACTCTCTTCAGAATCGCACCCCAAGGAAACATCTCAGAGCTTGTCTTCACCCAACCTGGTCGCTGCCCAGAGTCTTACACTCATACATTCTATTTTTTGACAACTTTTCATCCATCAGCTCTCCCCCATCCTAATGCCACTGTCCCTATTCTCAACCTTGTAGTGACCTTCTGTCTTCCGACTTTTCCCTCCATTTCCCCCAATTTATTGTCCCCGTCACTCCTGTTCTGACCTCACTTCCTTCCTAGGCCACTTTGAGCCCCTGAAATATATCACATTTTCTTTTTTCTCTCTTTTTTGAGATATGGTCTCACTCTGTTGCCCAGGCTGGAATGCCGTGGAGGGATCTCAGCTCACTGCAACCTCTGCCTCCTGGGCTCAAGTGATCCTCCCACCTCAGCCACCTGAGTTGTTGGGACTACAGGTGTGCTCTACCATGCGTGGCTAATTTTGTGATTTTTAGTAGAGACAGAGTCTTGCCACATTGCCTAGACAGGTCTCAAACTCCTGACCTCAAGCCATCCACCTGCCTCGGCCTCCCAAAGTGCTGGGACTATAGGTGTGAGATACTACGCCCAGCCTGACATTTTCTTCTCTTAGCAGCACCCATAACTCCCATATTCAATTTCCTTATCTACCTGACAAAACCCTCATCCCTGGATCAATCCTAAAATGAAGGCCACTAATCATCCCAGTTTGCCCAGGACTAAGGAGTTTCCTGAATGTGGGATTTTCAGTGCTAAGGCTAGAAAAGTCCTGGGAAAGTTGGTCACCCTGTCTAAAATCCACCTGCTCTAGCACTGCTGGGGGAAAAAAAAAGTAAGAAAATGGTGCCTGTGGCTGCCAGTAGAAGTTCAGAGTTTCCAACGTTACCTCCTGTACATCTACCTTCCTGAGAACACACAGGACATCAGTTTATTTCCTTCCCCACTTGCAAATTTCCATGCAATCTACGCTCATTCTTCCCCCTTCCCTTTCAGGTTGAGGACAGGCTTCCCCATCCTGTCCAAGGGTGATCCTCCTGGGGCTGGCTCCTTGTCCTGTGGTTCTCTGCCTCCCCATCCCTCTTGAACCAAATTTCCCTGCCCCCTGCCCCTTAGCCATCCACGCCATCTCCTGTCCTCAGACTCAGACTCTATCACCACGCTCACGTCTCTCACTTTCCAAAATCATCCCATGGTCTGGCATTTGCCTCTGCTAGGTGCTGCCCATGTTTCCCTCCTTCCTGCTGGCCTGAGGGTGGATCAGGCTCCTCCCCTGTGCTCCTGTTGCACCTGCTGGGGCTCCTTCCCAAGGCTGCTTCCGGCTGAAGTGAGTCCCTCTGTTTATGTGTCTCTGCCCCTCCAACGGGGTGGGGCTCAGGTCACATCCCTCAGCAAATCTCCAGCAACAGAGCGGTCGAAGGCTGCTGATCGGATCACACCAAGCCTGTGGCGGGCCCTCGGTGAAGGGCCGAACCTCCAGGACAACTGCTTTAGGGAGATCATGAGCTGGGGGTCCAGTGGCAATGAGGGAATAGACTATGTCAATAGTCTGGTGGTCACCTGAAGTCCCCAGGAGGAGCCGAGTGACAACCTATCCCCTCTCTAGGGGTGGCCTACAGTGGCCTTTCCACATGGAAAGGGCCTTTCCACATCACGCCTGTAATCCCAGCAATTTGGGAGGCCAAGGCAGGCAGATCACCTGAGGTCAGGAGTTCGAGACTAGCCTGATCAACATGGAGAAACCCCGTCTCTACTAAAAACACAAAATTAGCCAAGCGTGGTGGCATATGACTGTAATCCCAGCTACTTGGGAGGCTGAGGCAGGAGAATCACTTGAACCCTGGAGGTAGAGGTTGCAGTGAGCTGAGATCGCGCCATTACATTCCAGCCTGGATGACAAGAATGAAACTCCATCTCAAAAAAAAAAAAAAAAAAAAAAAAAGAGCATCCACCTGAAGGGTGCTTGGAGCCCCCCTCTCATGGTCTCTACAAGGCTTCTTGGGCCACAGGCTGAGCCATCTTCCTTTAGACTCCTCCTGCCCCTCCTCCTCCTGGAACTCCACATCAGGCTGCAGAAACCCAGAGAGACCCCTGCCCTCACCCCAGGCAGAGCGGGATGAAGGCAGAGCGGGCAGAGTGGTAAGAGTCTTTCTCTGAGATGCAGAGAAAGACCTGGCACTTATTGGAGGGAACTCTCATGGCTGGTTCTGGTAAAGGCTCCTTTTGTCCCTGGGGGGTTTCACCCAGGAGGTGCCCTGGATCTGGCTTCAGAGGTCTCTCCAGCCTCTTCTGTGAGTGGGTGATTCTGTGTGACTTGCTTACTGGTGTTCCTTGCATGGCTGGGAGCCCAGGCACGGCCTGATGCATCATTTTCATCTCTAACAGCAACCAAAACCCCAAGGAGGACCACACGTCCAGCCACAACTCCCATCTTCCTGATGGTGAACTCTGGGCGAAACCTCAGCACCGGGGAGGTGTTGACCAAAAATTCAGGGTAAGCGCCCAGGGCCTGGAGGCCGTGGAGGGAGCAACCCTGGGGTGGAAGCTGGTGGTGGTGGCGCACCGTGACCTGAGATCATCACTGGCTGCTGTTTCTCTCCATCTCTGGTCCTGATTCTCATACTCTGAGTCTGCATGTGGATGCTGAGTGAGAAATATCACTTGTGCTGTGAACACCTTTCCCTACGGGGCAACTACTGGGACTCAGGTCGAAGGTTGAGTTCAGGTGCATGTGCAGCCCTCGTCCCCTCCCCACCCCTTTCTGTCTCCTTCCCCATCCAGCTCTGGACTTGGGGTCCCGGTTCTGTGGCCCCTTTTAAAGGTATTTGCTCAGCTGGGAATTTTGCCACCAGGAGCTGTCTGTGGGATCTGTGGGGTGATGGGCCTGCTCCAGGCTGTGGTTTGAGTCTGTTCTCCTTCCTCTCCCAAAGATACCAAGGAAGGGCTGTGATATTGCTGCCAGACCCTGAGGGGAGGGAACAAGGAGCTGCAGCGAAACAGGGAGAGTGGCGGCCAGGCGCGGTGGCTCACGCCTGCAATCCCAACACTTTGGGAAGCCGAGAAGGGTGGATCACTTGAGTCCAGGAGATTGAGACCAGCGTGGGCAACATGATGAAACCCCGTCTCTACTAAAACACACAAAATTAGCCAGGCGTGGTGGCGCGCCTGTAGTCCCAGCTACTCAGGAGGCTGAGGTGGGAGAATCAGTGGAGCCCAGGAAGTCAAGGCTGCAGTGAGCCATGATTGCGCCACTGCACTTCAGCCTGGGTGACAGAGTGAGACGCTGTCTCAGAAAATAAAAAAAGTGAGAGATGGGACTGGTTTTAAGAAGTCAGTTGATAAAGTGGAGGCTGCGAGTGGGACAGGGATAGAGAGGGTGCTGTGGCGTGTGCTCCTGGAAGTGGGTCCTTCTTCTCTCTTCACTCCATCACCTCTCCTTGATGAGACCCCCCAGGCAGTCCTTGATGGAGGGACAAGGAGGGATGGGGGCCACAGAAGGGGCTGCCCTGGTGTAGGTCCTTTCCTCGGCTGCTCCTGGGTTATTTGGCCTCCAGAGTCAGAGCACGGGGAGAGGTGGGGAGAGAAGGGTCCTGGGGGTTCTCCCAGAGAAGTGACTCATTTTCACCGTGTCCCCCACAGGTTCCGGCTCAGCAGCCCTCACTTCCTGCTCGTGGTCCTTCTGAAGCTGCCCCTGCTCCTGAGCATGCTGGGTGCTGTCTTCTGGGTGAACAGGCCTCAGCGGGCTCCTGCTGGGAGATAGAGCCAGGCTGACCTGAAGCCCTGCAGAGCCCTGTCCCCAGGAGTGCCCTGTGCAGGGAGTCAGCCTTTCAGACTGGATGCAAGAGATCTGTGGACTCTGGAGGGATTTATTGTTCCTGTGCCTCAAAGGAGGGTCCTGTCTCTTAGAGGACATTCCTTTGGAGGCCTCAGTGTGGAGCTTGAGGGTCCTCCTTTCTCCTCCCCAGTCCCCTGCCTCCCTGCCCTCATGCCCACTTCCCAAGGGCAAGAATTCCCTGGAAGTTGGCCGGGCACCATAGTGAGTGCCTGTAATCCCAGCTCAGGAGGCTGAGGCAGGGGGATCACTTGAACCCAAGAGTTCCAGGCCAGCCTGGGCAACATAGAGAGACCCTGTCTCAAAGAGAGAGAGAGAGAGAGAGAGAGAGAGAGAGAGAGAGTAAAGGAGGGAGGAAGGGAGGGAAAAATTTTTCTGGAGGAGTCTGGCCCTTGATTCTTCTCCTTGGCATAAATGCTTCCCAGGCCAGTTTCCCCCAGGGCAATAACTACCTCCTTCCTGCAGACAGGAGGCTCCCTGAGGACACGTCCCTCACAGTCCCAGCCTTTGGGCTCACAGGGCTCCATTCTTTCTCTGGGACAACCCCCAGGGAGCTTGGTCCCGGCAGAGCTTGCTCATGCAGTTCCCAGTGTTCCACATGCTCAGGGCTCCCCTCTTCTTCTGTCGCCCCTTGGGTCTCCCTGGCTTTAAGGCTCCTTCTCTCCCTGTAACCAGGCAGTGTGTGGCTGGGCTCAGAACATCTCTGCCTGGGTGAGCCATGGATGAGCAGCTCCAGGTTAAAGTTCTGGGGCGAGTTGAAACAGTAATGGGAGAAAAAACTGGTGGGTGCCCCTGATATCACTCCTGGAATTCCCCCACCTGGGGGTGTCCTGTGCACAGGGTCAACAGAGTCAGCTCTGTCCACTTTAGAAGTCTGGCTGAGACCACCTGTTAGCAATTAACCTTTTCCACAGGCAGAGCAGACATCGTTTTTCAAAGACAGGATGGAGGACACAGAGGTGAAGGATACTTGTTCACACTTGAAGTGCATAGTGTCATCATCACTACTGGGGACCCCTGGCTCAGGAACAAGCTCGGTTGGTTTTTTGAATGTTTGTCAATTACTCCGTCTCCCTAAAGTTTGTGGGGAGGACTCCCACAATCTGCCACAAGCAAGCATCACCATCTCCACTTGCTACCTGCATCTGGACCAGTGCTCTCCCTCTGCCCCCAGGCCCGACCTCATCCTCAGCTAGTGATGCCAGTGTCCAGAGCATATGGAGCACCCCTATGAGTGCTGAGTGCTCAGGCAGAGCTGCCGTACTCTGAACTTGAGCTCTGGTGGGGCTCCCAGCTCTGTCATGCATGGTGACTCTGGGAAAGATGGGGCTGGCCCAGGACTCGTGCTGAAAGAGAAATTCAATCTAATAAGGCCCATAATAATTATATTAACCCAGGAAATATGACGATGAGCAAGAAAGGAGCTTATGATTCATTTTATGAGAAGGATAAGCTCCCAAGTCATTACAGCATAGGAAGAACTCTAGAGGCACAGAAGATGCTTCCTGATGTCAGGAGGTTGGTGAGGAGAATATCATGTCAAATTGGCCAGGTCAGAGAAAGAAGGTGACATTCGTGTGTGATGTTGAAGGAGGTATAGGGTTTCAGTGGGGCAGGGATGGAGCAACAGAGAGAGAGAGAGGACAGAGAAACTGCATAAGTGAAAGCAGAGAGGCAGGAAATAATCTTCGTAACAAGAATCACTCATAGAAGACCTATCAGCAAATGGACTGTACTGTTCACATACAGATGCTCATGGGAGGATGTGTCTAAGATTCCAATGGAGTGAAGTTTTTCTGTGGCAAGCCACATGGAACTAACCTAGAAGAACTCAGGTGGTGGTAGGTTCAGGAGGCTTAGGACTCAACTCTTACTTAAACTTTGATTAGCTATGGTGGGATGGATTTGAGCAGAACAAGATGGGATTGCAGATGTGTTGTAGGATGACTTGCCTAGCAGATGTAGCAAAGTCTGAAAGGAAGAATCTGGGAGTCCAGAGTCTCAAGCCTGGAAAACCAGAGAAATGGGGCGTCATTGACAGAAGTAGGAAAGTCAAGAGCAGGTTTGGTTGATGCAGAGCTTAGTTTTCTGGGTGTTTGGAATTATCTGGCAGAGAGGTCTAGCAGATAGCTAGAGATCTGGGTTAGCAGAGTGTGGAGCGCTGGAGAGGAATGTGTGTAGAAAGATTAATTGGAGGCCAGGAAAAAGTGAAAGCATGGGGAGAAGAGGTCAGAACCAAGGACAGAGCCCCTGGGGCACCTACATTTAAAGACAAAGGGTAGGAGGAAGAGACATTGAACAAGGAGCTGGAGCAGAAACAAACAGGTGGAAGATGAGAAGTCAAGGGCCATGAATGTTTCAAGGAGGAAAGCAGAGCTGGAGAGGTGGAGGAGGACCGCGATTGAGAGGCGGCTATTGAACTTATCATTCATAAGGTCACTAACGAAGTTCAGAAGAGCGTATCAACAGAGCAATGTGAGCAGAAGCCAGAAGGGAAGAGTTAAGAAAGAGTAGACAGATGGCAGACAGCAGGTGCAGGAGAAAGAAACAGTGGCTTCTCCATGCTTTGAATTTTCCATTCTCCCTTACTCCCTTTTTTCCCTCTATTTTTCCATTCTTTTTTCCCTTTATTTACTCATTCATTCAATAAACTTTTATTGTGTGTCTATGGTGCACTGTTCTGGGCGTTACAGATAAGGACTTAAACTATGCAGAGTCCCTACTCCTTTAGAAGGGAAGATTAAGATGTAGACTAACAATAGCGATGCAGCGTGTTAGAATTTGTGTCAGGGGTCTGCACAGTGCTCTGCGCGGACACAGAAGTGAGGCGGAGAAGGAAAATTGAGGGCTTGATTTATAAAAATAAGGCAGAAGACTGGGGGATGATTTTCCCAGACAATGGTAGGGGAGAGTCATAGAGCATGCTGGAAACCAGGACCTTCAGGAACCACATTACCGTTACCATGTGTGCAGAGTGCACGTGAGGGAGAAATGAGATATGGGGCTGGAGCCTCGTTATGAAAGGGCTGCATGGCAGACCAAGGGGTTTGGATTGAGTTCTAGAGACCACAGAGAGCCCCTGGAGGTTTTAATTTTTGAAACTTTTATTTTGAAAAAATTATAGACTTAACATTGCTAATATAACATAGAGACCTGTGAATCCTTCATCCAGTGTCCTTCAATGGCGACATATTATATAACTGTAGGACAATACCCAAACCAGGAAACTGGCATTGTTACAATACTGTTAACTGGACTGCAGACTTTTTTCAGTTTTCACCATTTTTAGCATGCATTGGTTTATGGATGTGTTTGTGTAGAGCTGCATGCAATTTTATAGATCCAGGTAACTACCACCCCAGTCAAAATACAGAAACAATTCATCATCACAAGGATCTCCCTCATGCTGTCCCTTGTATTTGCACACCTATCCCATTCCTGTCCCCTGGAAACCACTAATCTGTTCTCCATGTCTACAGTGTTGTACTTTTGAGGACAAATGAAATTATGCAGTATGTAATATTTTGAGATTGACTTTTTTATTCACTGAACCTTGAGATTCATACAAGTTGTTGCACTTACCACAACCAATAGTTGATTCCTTCCTATTGCTCAGCCGGATTCCACTGCGTGAGTGTACAATAATTTGTTTAACCATTCACCCACTGAACCCAAGCAAGACATGTCTATGCAAGTAATGGCTGCTGGACTGTGACCTTTGAGTAAAGGATACGTGTTTCAGAGCCTCATTTTTATGCTTGGGACCATATGGTGCCCCCAGCAGGCTTGGGAAGTGACCTTCTAAAGCGCACAGATGGGCCTGCAGGGATGCTGTGTGGGCCAGCTCCAGGCTGCCATTCAGAGGCAGAACCAACTCTGCTCTCTGGCCTTGTGACTGGGGACCAGGTGGCTTCACCCCTTCAGGTGCTGCTATTCTTATATGTGACATGAAGGTACTAAATGATGATTCTTCCATGAGGCAGTTTAAAAACACGGCTGCAAATTTCTTGACACTACTTCCATTAAGAGTTGGGGCTTATGTCACTTCCCCTTGGGTCTGGGTGAGTTGTGACTGTTTCAACCAGTGGACTAGAACAGTGTTTCTCAACGGTTTTTTCATTGTTATCCTAGGAAAACAATATCCCTAAAAAAAAAATCCCTAAAAAGGAATATCCCTAAATATCTCCCCTCATGAAACATTAATACCAAAGACGTATTGTACATCTATCCATCCATCCATCCATCCATCCACCCATCCACCCATCCACCCATCCACCCATCCATCCATCCATCCACCCATCCACCCACCCATCCATCCATCCATCCATCCATCCATCCATCCATCTATCCATCCATCCATCCATCCATCCATCTATATCTGCGTTTTATATCAAAAAGAGTAAAAATATTTTTTCACCCTGCAAGAACCAATATTTGCCCCTATGGGGAATGCATGCAAGAGGGCCTCTGTATGGCTTCCAAGGCTAGGTCAGAAGAAACCCTGCAGCTCCCTCCTTAGTCTCTTGAAACACTTGCCCTCTGGATGGTCTGTGGATATTCCCTTTTAGAACCCAGCTGTCACAGAAAGGCCACATGTAGGGCCTCTGGGCAACAGTCCCAGCAGAGCTGTCTTGGATCACCCCAGCCCATGCTCCAGACTCATGGGTGAAGAAGCCTCCAGATGACAATAGCAACCAGCCTGTGTGGCCAGGGTTCACACATTGCTACAACTCAGGCTGTTCTCCCATGCTTAGCAGCGCGCAGGCTGCTGGAGCCTGAGGTCTTGCCCTTTCTCACACATGAACCATATGGACACAGTCAGTCAAGATGTGGCAAGTGGTGAGTGTTCCCAAAAACAAACTTTCCACTGTGTCAATAGCCCTCCATGCTCTGCTCTCCACGCTCTGCCCTCCACTCTCTGCCCTCCATGCTCTGCCTTCCATGCTCTACCCTCCATGCTCTACCCTCCATGCTCTGCCTTCCATGCTCTACCCTCCATGCTCTGCCCTCCATGCTCTGCCCTCCATGCTCTACCCTCCATGCTCTGCCTTCCGTGCTCTGCCCTCCATGCTCTACCCTCCATGCTCTACCCTCCATGCTCTGCCTTCCGTGCTCTGCCCTCCATGGCTCTGCCCTCCATGCTCTGCCCTCCATGCTCTGCCCTCCACACTTTTCCCTCCATGCTGTGCCCTCCATGCTCTGCCCTCCACGCTTTGCCCTCCACGGTCTGCCCTCCACGCTCTGCCCTCCATGGCTCCTGACACTACTCTTGGCAAATCTTCAACCTCATTCAAAGAAAAGTTATAAAGCAAACCAGCAGCTGTTTACAGCTGATGAGGTCAAGGAGAAGAAATGAACACTAGCAAATGGCAGTTGAAGAATCCATCTCAGGAAAGGAAGTGCTCAAGGCAATAGAGGAAGAGTTCAGATGGAAAATTCCCCTCCTTAGAGAAATTACAGACAACAAGATCTCTCCAAAAAAAGGAGCTAAGAAAAGAAATATAGTAATTTTAAAAAAAGTATTTAAAGTAAAATATGGAGGAAAAAATGAGCAGACAGAGCTCAGGAAGAATGTAAGTGGAAGAGAATAATAATCCCAACAACTTTATTGAGAGGAAATATATACACGTTTGAAAGTTAGAAAAAGAGGTGTGTTGTTATTTAATTACGAGTGAATTGGGGGGACTGAAACATGAGGGTTGAGCATCCTGCATTTGCTGTCGCACAGCTCGAGAGGTGGAAGGGGCCAAGCTTGGGTTGAATCAGGAGTGGGTGGTGGTGGCTGTGCCAGTTCTGAGCCAGGTGGAGGATGGAGAGTGTCATAGGCACAAAGGGGTTAGAGCCAAGCCCCTTTTGGGATGGAAAAGTCCAGACGGGCCCTGGGGCCTCTGCAACTGAACTATAGTCCATTATCTCTGACAGGGTCATCCTGGAGCCACAAGGAAAGGAGGACTGAGGGAGGATCCATGAAGGTGAGAGGCAGATGCCTCCAAGGAATCAGTGTGTAAGAGGGGTTGTCCTTTCTTTTATCTGCTCCCGAGGCAGAGGTGGCGGAAGGCAGAGAGGCCCCCTTGGCATCCCTGTGTTGTGTAGCGCTGGCCGGGAGTGGGATCGCATTCCTGAGGCCAGGATGAGGGATGCTTCCTCTCTGCAGGGATCCTTGTCTCCTGGGGAACTATAATTGCTGCTTATTACCCGATAGGAGGCCACAGGTTCTACTTGTTTCCTCCAAGGGTGTCGATGGTGTGGGAGCTGCGGTTCCCTGGCTCAGGCTGTGACTTTGTTTCCCCCCAGAGGCCCCCTTAGCATTGCTCACTCGTAGCGCAGTGCAGAGCAGGTCCAGGAGCAGCAGCCCCTTCAGGGAGATCGGGAGCAGGAAGTGGATGTTGCAGAGCAGGATCCTGGACAAAGCGGTCAAGATACCAAGAGTGAGCCGCCTCTTCCCCAACCAACACCTGCCACCCTGCTCAGCTGCCTGGTCCCCAAACAGGGAAGCCCCCTGCAAGGGACAAAGTCATGCCACCCGGAGACTGAGCCTCCAGGGGCTTCCCCATAGGCTCAGTTTGAGGCCCGGCCCCTTCGCTGCCCTTGGCTGTGACTGCCCTGCCTTTAAATTTATTTGCAGAGATGGTGTCTCACTATATCCCCCAGGCTGGTTTTGAACTGCTGAGCTCAAGTCATCCTCCTGCTTTGGCCTCCCAAAGTGCCGAGATGACAGGCGTGAACCACTGCGCCCAGCCAGGCCTGCCTTTGGTCTTCTGTCCCACAGTCCTTGCTGCTCACCTGTGTCCCGCCAAGCTCGAGGGTCTGCTGTGTCCTGTCTTCCTGCTTCTGTTCCTCTCTCTGCCTGTGTCTCCCTTTGTAACTTCTGCCCATCTTTCAAGCTCAAATCTAGTTATTATTACCCCTTTGAAGCAGAGGAAGATATTCCCCCACTTCCATCAACCTGGCTATTTATCTACTTGGTTCTCCCGTGAGGCGTTTCTTCCTGCTTGGGGACCCACTTTATGACCGCAGATCTGAGACCTGCTGCCTCATATCGCCCACATGTTTAATACTTGGTCTAGTTAAATTAGTGGGTTCTGGGGAGTCCCCATCAGTGTTTAAGAGTCTGATTTCCCAATCTTATTCCTCATCCACTCCCCAACACCCGGTGCCAGGGCCCCTCCCCGCAGGCCACCCCTGTTCTCTCCCTGAAGCTGGCCTCCAGCCCAGGCAAAGAAGCAGTGATGAGTCATATGAATTTCGCTCAGGGTTTTCTTGAGCGAGAGCAGGCCTGCCATATTGCACATCCTAAAAATACCCTTTAAACCACTGTGCTCTTCTTGTAAGTTCCACTCCCCGTGGTCTTGCAAGTTCCACTGCACCCTTGGTCTCTCCCTGCCAAGTTTCCCCTTGTGCCTCTCCTGTCTCGCTAGAAGTCCTGGCACTGCCATCTCCGCTCAGCAGAACAACCACTCTGCAAACAGTGGAGCGGGACGAAAGCCAGGTCAGGAAGCATCCCCAGCGCCTCGCCTCTTCCGGACTCCTAGGGAACACAGGCTCGGTGCTGGCAGGCTCCAGGGAATGAGACCCTTTGAAAGGAAGGGAGTTGGACTGGAGAAGGGAAGGGAGCCAGTGGAGCACGGAAGGCAGGATCCAGGGAGAGAATGGGCTTTGACCCTGGAC